GATATTAGGAACGGGAAAATCGATATATTACATCAGGGTTGAGCAAACAACTACATCTGGGTCACACCTGGCCTGTCAAACATGTTAAAATCAACAGAGGAAGAATCCAATATATCGCAGTACAAAGAAGAGAATCTTAACAGAACCCCATTTGAATTATTAGGTGTTTTGCAGTTGTTGTTCCGGGACAGTGAAGAGAAAATGAGTAGGAAACCAAACACAAATGAGTGGACGTCACATCTCCTCGCGTCAATTGGCAGGACAGATGACGTAACAGCAGTAATCAAGCTCACAGCACGAACGTCCTGAATGCAAAGGCCTTCCTTACGCAACAAAACCATAAAGTTTTGAACAAGGCATGTCTGGATCGTGAGACTTTAAACAGGGACATTGCTCGTTACCAGCAGATAACCTTGGACAAAATGGAGGTCTTTAAATACGACGTGCCCTTGGGTCAGCGATGACCAGCCCGAAACTTGTATTACATTGCCATTCAAAGGCCCTCTTAAATATTCTTAAAAAAAACAAATGTAATTTAACAGCATTATGGAAGGCAAGGTTCATTACGGCTTTGGTAAAAACTATGTCAAAATAGTAGAATTCGATGTTTTCATGGCGATTTCTCATCGCCCTGATGATGGAGGCAGCAAGGACCTCTAAAACGTTGGTAAACTTCTACCAGATTACACGGCGCTACAACCCAGAAGACAGCCATCTTCTATGTCAAAATAATCTTCGCGGTACTGATAATCAGTTAGTAATCCTGAAGATGGAGGTAGCATGCTTCTCCGAAACGTATGTGTCGGTCCTAAGACGATACGAAGCAAGAATGCAGATCAGATTATGAGGTTAAGGAAAGAGAGAAAGAAGAAGAGGGCTGGAATCAGCAGGAGACATTCCATTCAATTATCCTACTACATTTTATGACGCTTTATCAACTGAACAACCTACACAAAGTGAAATTGATCAACAATTTTGAATAGGAAGGATTTTGGAAGCTGTTATTCTCCTGACGGGAACAAAAAAAATCCGAAAATAACTCAGAATTATGTCCTTTCTTCCTGACCACGATTCGAAATGGTTGTAGCCTGGATACAGGTCAGACACCTCCCAATAATATAGGAATTGAGACTTTCGCGGCGAGTACAACCAATAATATCTTCTCGGGCAATCAGCCGCGTTAGCTGGTTACCGTAGTAAACCGACGTTTCGGTAACAAATTATGTCCCCATCTTCAGGGTTCTGATGTGACTGGATCCAGTAACCAGCTAACGCGGCTGATTGCCCGAGAAGATATTATTGGTTGTACTCGCCGCGAAAGTCTCAATTCCTATATTATTGGGAGGTGTCTGACCTGTATCCAGGCTACAACCATTTCGAATCGTGGTCAGGAAGAAAGGACATAATTCTGAGTTATTTTCGGATTTTTTTTGTTCCCGTCAGGAGAATAACAGCTTCCAAAATCCTTCCTATTCAAAATTGTTGATCAATTTCACTTTGTGTAGGTTGTTCAGTTGATAAAGCGTCATAAAATGTAGTAGGATAATTGAATGGAATGTCTCCTGCTGATTCCAGCCCTCTTCTTCTTTCTCTCTTTCCTTAACCTCATAATCTGATCTGCATTCTTGCTTCGTATCGTCTTAGGACCGACACATACGTTTCGGAGAAGCATGCTACCTCCATCTTCAGGATTACTAACTGATTATCAGTACCGCGAAGATTATTTTGACATAGAAGATGGCTGTCTTCTGGGTTGTAGCGCCGTGTAATCTGGTAGAAGTTTACCAACGTTTTAGAGGTCCTTGCTGCCTCCATCATCAGGGCGATGAGAAATCGCCATGAAAACATCGAATTCTACTATTTTGACATAGTTTTTACCAAAGCCGTAATGAACCTTGCCTTCCATAATGCTGTTAAATTACATTTGTTTTTTTTAAGAATATTTAAGAGGGCCTTTGAATGGCAATGTAATACAAGTTTCGGGCTGGTCATCGCTGACCCAAGGGCACGTCGTATTTAAAGACCTCCATTTTGTCCAAGGTTATCTGCTGGTAACGAGCAATGTCCCTGTTTAAAGTCTCACGATCCAGACATGCCTTGTTCAAAACTTTATGGTTTTGTTGCGTAAGGAAGGCCTTTGCATTCAGGACGTTCGTGCTGTGAGCTTGATTACTGCTGTTACGTCATCTGTCCTGCCAATTGACGCGAGGAGATGTGACGTCCACTCATTTGTGTTTGGTTTCCTACTCATTTTCTCTTCACTGTCCCGGAACAACAACTGCAAAACACCTAATAATTCAAATGGGGTTCTGTTAAGATTCTCTTCTTTGTACTGCGATATATTGGATTCTTCCTCTGTTGATTTTAACATGTTTGACAGGCCAGGTGTGACCCAGATGTAGTTGTTTGCTCAACCCTGATGTAATATATCGATTTTCCCGTTCCTAATATCGTTACCGCTTGTGACGTGTTCCTGTGATAACACTGCACCTGTGGAGCGAGACTCTAGTTCTGATTGGGCGGAATTGCCCCCCGAAATGTTCTGTTTAACGTATTTTTTTACAACACCATCTCGATCAGCTTCGTCGTTGTAGACTTTAATTACCGATTATGTTCTTTTGTAAAACAGGTAATAGAAAGGTAACGAAAGTAATTAACAAAGCCACAATGCACCTAACTTCATGAAGCAGAACTGTCCTTGACATGCCGAGTCAGACAACAGGTTGTCCAGAAATTTCACTCCTTTAATGGCACACGAAGGTTCATTCCAGTGTCATCAGCACGTCTTCTGTTGTCCAGTGCACGCCCTCCCATCCGATTTCTTAACATCTTAACATACATTTTAATATTATCCGCCATTGTGCCCACTTTTTCCGTGTGGTACTTTCCTTTCAGTGTCCTAAACCAAAATTGTATATACTTTCTTTGTTTTCCCTCTGTCAAATGTCCCGCCAGTCTCACACTTTATAGTTTTATCTTTCAAATTATATTTGGTTAAGAGTAAGAAAGCTTCTCATTATGAAATATTTTCCCTGAAAATGACGGAGTCAGTTACGTAACTAAGAAACTTTTGGCTTTACGGATCGATTTGCGTTGTGAGGATAGATAAGTCTTAAGAGGTAGGTTATAAGGGCTAGGAATTTAGGTAGGATCAAGTAAGTATTTAGTTTACCGTCATATTGTTTATAACATGACATGCCCAATCTAGCCCTTGTGTAAAACCATTTCTAAATTTAATTAATTGTCTGGTCAGTAGAATCCAAGAATATGCATCCGTTAGTCCATACCAATTCTGTCTGCGAACCTTCATTCTCTCATTTCGTCTAAATATACTTTATTTCCTGATACTTGAGGTTCTGACATCGGTGAAGCCGACGATGTTCTGTGGTGACCCCTTGTGGACTCGTAAATAGATAAAAAAAAAGCATTTTCTGCTGAACATGTTTTCTCCATCCTCAGGGCCTTTCGCGAGATGATCAAAATCGATATGGTTTATGGTAATTGAATTTAAACCTTGTATCTCCAGTACGTTTTTAATCAGTATGCAGAATGTACCCTATTACTGTAGTGCAACCTTCCAGCCGTCAAAAACTCTTAAGGTGGACGTGTATTTGTTCAAGTGATATGTTTGCCGACGAAATCCGGTGAAATTTAAAGAATGACACATACTGAATTCGTATGATAGACACAGCAGTGACAAGATAAGCTAGTGGACCGTTTTGAAGATGAGAGGTGATAAAGACACAAATACAAACAGCTACAAGAACCTTTGTTTGGCCTCCCGGTGTTTCTCAGTCTCTATTCTTTCAGCACGACTGACTCGTCCATTTTTCAAAGTAGAAAAAAATATTAAAATCAAATCAAATGTTGTGTCTGTCACAAGGTACTTGGTGACGACAGTTATAAATCTAAACACTACTTATGATGATATAGAGAGCAGATTACTTTCTGTTTGCTTGTATTTAGTTAAGAATGTTTAATGTTATCTTTTCCTATCTGAAAACCTCGAGGTTAAAGTATACACAAGTAAAATCTGTGCAGCCCATACATGAAACTGAAGGATTAATTAATATTGAGAATAGATGTTAAAGAAATGGTGCAGAAGATCTTCTGAGCTAAGACATTACATGTTCTTTTACAAAATAAAGTAATCTACACTTGGTTTCTGTTGTGTTCAAACATAAATTGTTTGAGATATTCTGAAAATGTTCTCAACAAGAGAGATGAATTAAAAACGAAATCAATGCAGAGATGAAGTATCATAATCTGTATTCTTTACCTAATATTAAGTTAAGGGTTATGATATCAAGACATGTGGCACGCATAGAATAGAAAGGACCCCTGAAACGCTGGTAAACTTCTACCAATGCCCTATTTTACTCCGGCCCTCATGTGCAAGTATACATATCTGACTTTTTTTTAGTGTTCTGTCTGACGACAGGTCCATATGAACAGGATCCTTCCATC